ATCAGAATCAAAACTTACAGCAGGATCGATCCTTTCAGTCACAACATATATCTATCATTTGTTTATTCAGAAAAAGACAAATAGGCATTATCTTTCACCTGGGACAGAAACACCAACAGTTTAGTTTACTTTATTATCATTGCACCTCAACTGAATTTAAAACCTCTGACACTTCATTAATACAGTATACAGTAGAATTCTACATAGTTACTGCTTTGGGATAGAAGCTGTTTTTCAGCCCATTTGTTCTTGTTTTTGTTGTCCTGTACTGTCTGCCAGATGGTAATAGTTCAAAAAAAGGGTGCCCAGGACGAGATGGATCTTTAAAAATGTTTTGAACTTCCTTTTAGGCAATAAAGCTCTTCCAAGGAGGAGAGAAGGCAACCAATGATCCTCTGGGCAATGATGTTAGCCCTCTGGAGCGCTGTCCTATCTGCCACTGTGCAATTGGCAAACCATACAGAGTGCAATAAGTTAAAATACTCTCTATAGAGCAGTGGTAGAAGGTCACCAGCAGTTTTTCATTCAGTTGTTGTTTCCTGAGAAGTCTCAGGTAGTATAATCTCTGCTGGGCCCTTTTGACCAGTGCTGCAATGTGAGCGCCCATGTCAGGTCCTCTTTTATGATAACACCCAAAAACTTAAAACTGGCCACTTGCTCCACTTGGTCTCCATTGATAATCAAGGGCTGGTTCCCTTGTTTCCAAACAGATCTGTTTATTTTGGAAGAAGTTTCCTTAAGTCTGCTTGGATCTAGAATAGCCAAATCAGTTTAATCCAAATGAGAAATGCACAATTCCAGAGTTGTCTGAAATGTGCTTTCCTTGGAAGTTTAAAACATTTTATTTATTCTTCCATGGCCATATCCCATTTACTATCCCTCTTCCACTTATCCTTTAAATGGCTTGGGAAAGTGCTGCTACAAGCATACACCTACTGTATCCTGTTTTAATATTCTGTGTATGGTTCCACCTACAATAATTGTTTCATTGAAAGAGTGTTCAATTTTTCAGCATCCAGAATGCCATCTATCCTCACAGAACTGAACAACATTTTGGTGGTTGGACTTCATTTTTATTACTGAAAAATACTTTTGACTTCATTTTTATTACTGAAAAATACTTTTGGCCTCTGAGACACTGTCTCCATTTTAGAGTTTTAAAGTATTTATATTTTCATAGCTAAGAACAAATAATCTGACTCATGTCCCTGATGCTTCCATAACTCATTTTAAGAATTGTTCAATGATCTTCTTGGTCATTAACACTAGTTAGTCTCATTCCAATCTCAATGGTAATTAATCTCTTTTGTAGAGGTTATGCTTCTGCTCATAGTTTTCTCAGTATGAATCAAAGCCTCCTAATATTCTTATCTGTACTGTACATAGAACTAATGAGTATTTTTTGCAAAATAAATGGTTACTAATACCAGTAAATAAATTTATACATCAACTTACTCCAAAAGAGCGTAAATAATGTAGACAATAAGGTAACAATGATGATAATAAGCCAATATAAATACAAGATAAAATGGCAATACAACAATATCTGGATGACCTGGTACATAGGGCACCTAGGTCTTTTGAAAATGCTACCTTGGCACTCTGGACTCTGGTGTTTTCTTTCTTCGATTGTACCTTAGCATCACTGAGAGCAATACTGATAAGTATGTCCTTGCACAGTATAATTAAGCCATCCAAAGTAATAAGTAGGATTGTGCTTCCTAAGCAAATCACAAATATAAATGGAGCAACTTATACTGTATGCATTTTTTTCAAAATATGAAAAGCCCGCTAGTTAAGTTTTACCTCGTCTTCATTGGCAGAAGCCAGAGCACTCTGAGCTCTTGTCCTTTCATCTAGGATGTCTCTGTCATTCTCTTCGCTGAGCTCCTCGGGATTCTGATGGGTCCTTTTTCTTTGTGGAGAAATCCTAGGAATCAAAGATACAAGTCTGAAGTGACTGAGTACTAAAGGATGAATGTTGATTTCAACTAGGAAAGCAATCAGCAGTCTATTCTTGAAGGTAGGAAGTGGGTAGAGATCTCATGTGGTAACTTACTCAATGCCTGTGCAGCTCTATTATTTATATTAGTGCTTTTCTTTGCTCCCATTTTCTCCATCATTGTGGAATGATTAGAGTAGTCCTCCTTTCCCTTGTTATCAATGTTTTTTTTGACTATTCTGAATTAAACGAACTTTTGCCAATTCCTAAGCCACTTTAGCAAACCAGGTAACCAATCTACGTATAAGTGACCAGGTTCACAATATTCAGCAATTTGACTCATATTGGATAATGTTTATCACCTCAATTGGACCTACCTATCCAGAATCTAACTCCAAATAGATAAGAACAACTTTATCCTGCAGATAACATGCAAATTACTTCAACAGCCTTTTGAAGGAAATCCTATAACTAATGAGTATATTTTACAAAAGGAATGGTTACTAACAGCAGCTTGGTTTCAAATAAGTAAATTTATAAGTCAATTTACTCCAAAAGAGTGTAAATAATGTACAAAATAAGGTCACAATAATGACAATAATGCAATGTAAATATAACATAAAATTTCAATACAACAATAGCAGCAACAATCTGAACAGTGTTCTTTTAACCTTTCTCCAGCTATTGCAATCAATATTTTTGTAAAATTAAAAACAGAACAAAGGTACTTGTGATGGCATATAAGGCTATATGCCTTGCAAACTGGATACTTTACAGGACATCTTCCTCCATAGGTACCTACCAATCAGCTAAGGATGCTCTCTGAGGAACATTTTGATGCCAAGCATTTAAAGTTTTAAATCTACTTTCATTGTTTTGATGATAAATTTAGGGAGACCCCAAAGGAAGCTATTCAAAGTTTTGTGAGACAAATAGGATATAGATATGAAAGCTCAATACAAGTAGGAAATTATAAACAAACTTGAAAGCATGGTATGAAATACAGAAGGATTTATTTTACCTTAGAAAATAACACTGATCTTCCTATAAAATACTAGTCCCTTATAAGGTATGCTTATTTTATATTTTTAATAATTTATTGAAGTTTTTAAGAGACTCAGTAAAAACTAATACAAACTAAACTAGAAGAAAAACATTAAAAATTCAGAAGATGCAGGAAAAGAAAAAGGCAAGAAAGACAATAATAACAAAGTAGCTTCCAACCTTCAACCACAGAGCAAGCTAATCTCATAAATGTTCACCCTATTTTAAAGTTTCAAATAAAGAATTCTTCTCTCCATAGCCTTTTATCTATATGCAATCCAGAAATCATCATCCTTTCAATCCTAGGAAAAAGTCAATTAGGAATTACCAGAAATATTAAACAAATAATGTATCCTTGATCAAACAGTCCAACTTCATATTCCTCCTTTTTTGCTCTGCACAATTTTAACCTTTAAATCAGAGGTGGTATTCAACAGGTTCTGACCAGTCCTGGAGAACTGGTAGCAGAAATTATGAGTAGTTCAGAGAACCGGCAAATACTATCTCTAACTGGAGATTTTACAGTATCCTTCCCTTGCCACACCTACTAAGCCATGGCCACAGAACTGGTAGTAAAAAAATTTGAATCCCATCATTGCTTTAAATCATTCCAAAGGTACCACTCTTTGATATTTGTCTCAAAGCTTTCACCAGCCTACTCAGTAAATCCCATCAAGAGGCAAGGTCCAGGATTTCTTGTTGCAACTTTTCCATGTCCAGATCATTTTCTTGATTTGTCTTTTGGTATTTCCATTTTGGTTATCTCAATTTTATTGTCTTCTATGCCTTCAAATGCTATAATGTCTATGCCAGGTAAAAATGTTTTTAAAATGTTATCATCTGTTGTGGTTTGCCAGCAGCCAGTGCAGATGGCAATGGAGTCGGACAGTGAGGAAGAAAGGGGACCAGTCAGGGAGTCTGGAGAGGACTTGGACGAGGGTCCTGCATCCGATGCAGGGATGGAGCCAGGACCATCTGGAAATGGGGTGCTGCCTTCAGAGCCTTCGGAGTCTGGAAGCAGCGAAGCAGAGGACCCAAGGGAGCCTGTTCCCAGTGCATGTGTGCACAGAGCTGCTAGAAGGTGAGAGTAGCTGAAACAGAAGGGGCGACTCAGGAGTAAGGCTGGGAGGTGATTGCCCCTCCCATAAGGGATAAAAGTCAGGCCTCAATGATGAAATCTTTGCAGGAAGCAAAGTAGTTCAATAGATTCCGAGTCCTCATTGAAGCTCCGTGTACTCTGGTTGGTTTTTTCTGATACTTCGTTTGATTTCTGTTATAATTAACTGGATACTTCTGTTTTTGGCAACATTCCACAGCACTGAAAGGTGTGTGCTTATCTTGGGGAACTGTTTAAGATTAGTTCTGGCTGGGAACAAAAGCAATTCTCAGCGTTGCAATAAAATAGGTTTTGTTTTTAAAACGAATTTGATATTATGTTTGACGAAGCCTGGGTTAGAACATTATCATCTAAATGTTTATCCATTGAAATTTGTGTCTTTTCTGAGATATTTGTTATTTATATCTCAAATTACTTTTCAAAGGATTCTTTAACACAAAGGAAAGGTTATTGCTGAGTTAGTAATTTCTACCTGGATCTTTAGTTTGATCTAGTGTTCATTTGCAAACTTCATAAAGCTTCAGTTCCTAATATGGGTTTCATTCCATTTAAGTTATTTCCTATGAATATGTTATTTAATCATATAGTTCTGTTTTTAATCTTTCAGCAAAAATAATCAATTTTTGAGATCTTTCTGGTCTCCCAATCCATTAAAAACGTTCTTACATAAAAATCCTTTTTTTGCTTTTTGTCAATTGCATGGTTTAAATTCTTAAGTCCCTATTTAAAACATTTTGATTCAAAGAAGGTAACATTCACCAAGTGTCAAATAAAGCTTGCCTTTTGGCAGTGGTTAAACTGAACATTTCTGAATGTGATTAGAAATGAATTTCAGCTGGCTTAGTATCCTTTTTAAAGGATCTGCTGTTTCTGAAAGCAAAGATGTTGTTTCCCTCAGTTCATGGCATCGAACACATGTAGGACCTCTGTTTTATGGACATCTCGCAAGGAGTTGCCATTCAGAGCACTCGTGGGTGATCTCCCATTCTCTCCTTCTCTGCTCAAAGGTCTTTCATTCTTTACCATGGTCATTTCTACTCTGTTGCAAAAATATCTTCAGTCAGCCATGACTCAGATCAGAAGCCAGGAATTTTTTTCAGAATGGATCCCATTATAACAACAATCAATTATCACAAACATTTTAAAAAAAACAACCCTATTTGTTCCTCTTTGCATTATCATTTTTTAAAAAAATCTACATTACATTTATAGTTCAATTGCATTGGCGTTACTATTAATATTATATTTTACAGAAATGCTCTGAGCAAGAGATGGGCAGTTTCTAAATGTGATATATAAATAAAGACCTCGATCTCAGAAGAAATCTGGGAAGAATGGAAGGAAGGAGAAGAAGATGACCAGTAACAAGGTAGATGACTCAGTTACAGGAGCAATGAATGGGAGACCAAAAATCACAGGTTGGGGTAGATCATCATGGAGAAAATCTATGTATATGGTCACTTGGAGTCAAAAATAACCTAATGATGCATAATCAACCAATCAACCGATGCGTGCATGCAGACACACACTTGCTCTCCTTGAGCCTACTAACATAGATACCAACCTAAACACAGGATCTCTTCTCATAACTGGTCTGTCATATTTCAAAACCAGATAGCGAAGTAAAAAAATGAAAATTATGCTGTGGATGTAAGGCTACATAAAAACACAAACAGAAAATTATATTGAACATATGTACAACCATAGAGAGATCTTAATTTAATATATTTAATTATGTATTTGGTTAAATATCTCTAGATTTAGGAAACATATGTACAACGATTGTATGGCAGACTTAATAATTAGAGAAGGAAGACTTTACTCCATCTTTTGTTTTAGTATAATAGAAAAGTATTTATACTGATGTCCTTTAAAGTAGTACCAGTATCAGCTACCTCACAATCCATACTGAATTAAAAGACTTAGGCAGATGAGAAAAGGATGCCGCTATATTTCTGAAGCCAGTATACCAAATACTAAATACCACCACTTATTGATGTACAGCAGGGGTGTCAAATTGGCGGCCCTCGGGCCGATGCGCCACGCCCACTCCAACTCCGCAAAGGGGGAAAATATCATGATACCTCATGTGATGGCAATGTGATGCGGCGAATTTGACACCTGTGATATACAGCATAATCTCCTGCCTCAAGAAGTGATCATCCATACTCCTGCAATATATTGGATATATCCAGGGGTGGGATTCAAATTTCTTAACAACCGGTTCTGTGGGTGTGGCTTAATTTGTGGGTGTGGCTTGGTGGTCACATGACTGGCTGGGCATGACCAACTCAATGTCACTCACGTCAAGGGGTGCCTCCCCTGGGCCCTCCCCTTCCAGCCATGCCTTGTCACACCCAGCCTCAACGTATCTATAGTCCTGTAAAAATGTTGTTCACCTTTTTTTGACTTTATTATCTACATGCTATAGATATACTTTCATGGACCACTGAAAGGAGAAAAGGCTTTGCCCAAGAGGGTGATAGGCAACAGGCTTTTAAGGGGCTTCCAGAAAGAAGGGGGCAATGTATTTTCCAAAGAAGCAGAAGGCAAAACAAGAAGCAATGGATGGTAACTGAGCAAAGAGAGAAGCAATGTAAAACTAAGAAGAAACTTCCTGACCGTGAGAACAATTAACCAGTGGACCTGCTTGTCTCCAGAAGTTCTGGGTGCTCCAACACTGGAGATTTTTAAGAAAAGACTGGACTGGACTGAATTAGACCATGCAGGACAGCCATTTCTCTGAAATGGTATAGGGTTTTCCCCAAGGTCCCTTCTAAGTGTTATTCTGACACCTTTCCCAGGACCTCCACTCAGATCCAAAATGTGGCTGTGATAGTTGATCAGAGCTCCTCTGTTTTTTATATGTAGCAGCTTTAGCGTTTAGGACAGAGGCCTTCAAATTTGGCAACTTTAAGACTTGTGGACTTCAACTCCCAGAAATCAGAGCTGGCTGAGGAATTCTGGGAGTTGAAGTCCACAAGTCTTAAAGTTGCCAAGTTTGGGGACCCCTGGTTTAGGATCAGAGCTACGTTAGTTACTTTTCTGTTAATACATAATCCTTAAAAGGGCTGTCCTGCATGGTCTAATTCAGAGGCTCCCAACCTTTCTGGCACCAGAGAGAGAGGTATTAAATAGTGGGTGGGCTATGCATGGAGTAAAATAAGTGTGGGATTGTTACTTAAAGCCTGCCACCACATGATTTTGCTCCAGTCCAGTGGAAAATCATAATAAACACAAAGGAAAGACTTCACTAGAAAGGGCTTTATTTTGCTCCTGGGGAAAATCAGAATAAAGAACAGGAAAAGCCTTCACAAGAAGAGGCTTTTTTGTTCTGCTCTGGAAGAAAATTAGAAGACACAGAGAAATCTTCACTGGAAGAGGCTCTCTGCTTTTGCTCCAGAGGAAACCCCCAATCAAAGACCTAGGAAAGCAGAAAAAGGGGAAATGGTAAAAAATGGTAAAAAGGTAAAAAGGTAAAAACACCTGCACTTTTCAATAATTCAGCACAGTGATTCTCTTCCAGATTAGACCTGTGACTTTCTTTTAAGAAAGTGGGGGGGGGGGGAAGGGGGGGCGGCAGAAGAGATAATTCTTACTCACCCTTCCAGCAAAATAAACTGAAGATCCAGCATGTTGAGGAAATGCTGACAAAACCATTCAAAAGAGAGAAGGAGTGAGAGAGGCAGAGGCAAAGGCAGAGAGACTCGGTCAGCAACCGAGAGAGGGATTCCCTTGCAGACCCAGTACTTAAGATGAAATTCCTCCCCCCCCCCCCCATACCTTGTTTCCCTCCAACAAGGCTTTGGGAAAGCGCTTGGTTGCAAGTTGGGCTGCTGCTTGTTTGTCTTGCAAACTTGGAGAGATGCAGGAAGGGAATGCAAGCCCAGTTGCAATGCTGGGAGAAGGAGAGGAGAAAAGTGGGAAAGAAGCAGAGGAAGGAAGAAGAGGTAGCAGGAGAAACAGGAAGCAGGAGGAGGAGGAGGCAGAAACAGGCATAGCAAAAGGAGCAGGAGAAGAAGGACCTGGAACTCAGTTGTTGCAAGCCAATTGCAAACCAGGCTGCCGGAGAACCTTTACTGTTTGAGGGCAGGAATGAAGCCCTTACATGCTGGTCGGTGGGAGGGACAGCAAGCAGCCCTTGGGTGAGAGAGGCAAACTAATCTCTTCCCTAATCAATGGCTGGGTGGGTGTGGCCAGGGGTGTGTGACAGGCAGCATTCCTCCTGCACCCCACCAAAGCAAAACAAAAGGCCGTTTTTAGCATAGCAAGCCTCCCTGGAGCCTCAAAATGGCGCACGGGGGAGGGGGAGGGCAGGGGGAGGGGGTGCCCCCTGGACTCCCCCTGGACCCCCCCCAGCGTGTCCTCCCCCCGCACGCTTTTTGGGTCTTCTGAGGCTCCAGGGAGGCTTGCTATGCTAAAAATGGGCTGCTCAATTAGGTGATTAGTTTGCCTTTCCTGGGAGCCTGAGAAGACCCAAAACAGTGCGGGAGGAGGGGGGCACCCCCAGCCCCCCCCCCACATCCACCCGTCGCCCCATTTTTGGCTTTGTAAGCCTCCCTACACTTACCTGAGAGCCAGAACCAGGCACATGGCGACTTCTGGAAGGGGCAGGGTGGGGTGGGTGGTGCCAGCTGGGCTTTGGAACTACCGGTTCGTCAAACTGGATGTACAATTAACATCCAGTTCTCCCGAACCGGTAGAATCCCACCCCTGGATATATCTGGGTCAGAAAAATACTCCTTCTTCACTATTTAACCTCATAGGGAGTTTTATGTATCTGTATCCCACCTTTATTATTTTTACAAATAACTCAAGGCAGAAAATATATCCAGCACACCTTCCTCCTCCTATTTTCCCCATAACAACTCTGATTTAGGTTGAGAGAAAGTCACTGGCCCAAAGGCACCCATCTGGCCTTCATACCTAATGTGGGGTTAGAACTCACGCTCTTCCCACTTTCTAGCCTGGTGTCTTAACCACTAGATCAAATTGGCTTTCCATTGTAGTTTATTATTTTAACATTTTAGAATTGGATGGGATTAGTGCACAACAAAGTTGCAGATATGCTGCAGTTTTAACAGGAATCTCTAGAATCTGAAGTTGGCTGTATTTATGTACATTTATGTAAAGATATAAGTAGATGTAGATATTAACTTTTTGGATAATAAGATAGTCTGACTATATTAATGCTTTTCTAAACATTTTTTTAAAAAATCTCCTTGCTATAAGAATAATATGTTTGTTCCTCACCGTGAGGGCATGTATCCAGATCTCATCCATATGTAAAATATATCCTTCATCACTATGAATCTCAAGAGACAAATAACTCAGCATCAATATAAAAATGTAGATAAAAAGCAGTCAATAAAGTTCTTAAGTACAGTTTATACAATTCACTCAGAAAGTAAAACAAAACTTTTAAAAGAAAGTTACTGGTTTCTCCAGAACCAAAGGATGACCCAGCCACATACTGTATTATTTTTTTCAACTGCAAACAAAAGGTTTCATAAAATTGTCTTTCAAGACAAAAGAACAGTGATACAACTGTATAAATCATTTTGCTTTTTTACAATGTTTTATTGGTACACATCTGCATTGCTGACATAATTTGGGAACAATGAAATACCATGGATTAACTGAACAAAAGAATAAAGAAGAATAAAGGACAGAACAACGGTATTAGATCCTCAATTAAAAAGTTTATTCTTATTCTTATTATTTGTTATACCTAGTCCAATTCCTCAGTTCCAGGAGCTGGAAGTTTCTTTGTCCCCAATAGATAAAATTTCTGTTTTCATGTTCTTTAGAAGGTGATTGTATGAGGTTTGGAAGTATTTTGAAATTTTTGTTTTTATTTGCCAATTGTGCTGCAGATTGGCTGATGACAGAAAACCTACTGGTTAACATGCAAATGGGAGCCCATCAGGAAATTCCAGACTATAAACTAAACAGGGAAGTTTTAAAAAATCTTCCCACCAAAAAGCAAAGACAACCCCCTTTTGTACTCTTACAAAGAAAACTGCATACTATAGGGCAGGGGTCCCCAACCGCCGGTCCGCGGACCGGTACCGGTCCGCGGAACAAGTCTTACCGGGCCGCTGGTTGCTGGGCGCCGCCATCTTTTTTTGGTAAAAAAGTGCTTCCGGTGAGCTTTTCCGGGTAGAAAGCTCACCGGAAGCATTTTTTCATCAAAAAAAGATGGCGGTGCCAGCGCTTCCGGTGAGCTTTTCCGGGTAGAAAGCCATTTCTACCCGAAAAAGCTCACCAGAAGCGCTGGCGCCGCCATCTTTTTCGTCAAAAAAAGATGGCGCCCAGTTGATGCCGGTACCGGGCCGCGGCGCCCAGCTGATGCCGGTACCGGGCCGCGGCGTCAAAAAGGTTGGGGATCACTGCTATAGGGTCCTTGGAGCTGTCTCAGCTTAGTTGTTTTCTTGCAGTTATATTACTCAACTCGGTAACATTATCTTTACCCAACTAAGTAACATCACCGATGCTGTTATCTAGCTGGGTAATGAAACTTCTTCAAGAAAACAACCAAGCTAAGAGGGCACCAAGGGACCCACAGCTTAATCCTGAGCTACAAATACTCTCTTCTATTAAAAACTTCATAGACAGCAGAAAAGAATCTTGACTCAAGGGATTCTTCCATTTCCTTATACAGAGTTTCCTAAGGAACTTTTGATGAGCTTGATGAAGGTTACATCAGATTTTTAGAAAAGCAAAGAAGCATACCAAGATACAAATTTAGGTCCCTTTACCTTTCTCAAACAACATGTTCATTTCTATCATTTCATACTTCAAAATCTGTGAATAGGAATGGAACTGGAGTGAATGTCTAATCATCAAATTTATGTAGCCCAGGAGTTTGCAGCAGGAGTGGGCTGCTACAAGTTTGCACAGGTTCGGGTGGAGTGGTTTAAGGGATGTCTCAAGTTGGGACAGATGATGATTGGACCATGTGATGGACTGATGGGTGCAGGGGATGGCTTTGTAATTTTGAATTACTGAGGGAAAACCCGGAACTCCCAGATTCGAGTTTTCCCAGATGTGCCAATATGACAACTCTAATAAAATGGAACTTTCAAGTGCCTATCTCAGAGTTTTGGTGTTGAAATTTGTTTTTCTGGAATGCTAACAGACTATTTCTGACCTCCAGAGGGCTATTTTTGCCCTCCCAGAGGCTTGAGGAAAGCCTCTGGAGTCCAGGGAGGGCGAAACGCCTACCCGCCATGGTGCAGGAGGCAGAATAGGCCAAGCCCACCCAGCAACCGGGCAGAGAACCGGTTGCTAAAATTTTTGAAGCCCACCCCTGGTTTGCAGTGAAGTTGGGAAAATGAATGAAGCTAATGTAAACTGGTAGACATTTGCAATAAAATGCTATTGTTGTGTAAAGTTGTTTTTTCTACTTTTACTACAGAAATCTGTTTGCAAATCTGTAGGTTTATTGTTCTCGGTAAGTACTATATTGATTTGACTTAACACTCATTTCTGAATGGAAGTAAGTTTATGGCCAGAAGTGGTCAAAGAGCAGCATATCTGATCTTACTGGATCTGTGAAGTGCAGGGAAGAATTGCCCCTTAGATCACCTGGTGGTAAGAGAATTGGCATAAAGGCTAATATTTTATTTATTTATTTATATTTTATTTATTTTGTCAAGCAATAATAAGAGATATAAGTATATCTGTACTCTTTATTTTTTTCCTGAAAATTTGGCAGACTTCAGCCTATGCACATGTTAAGGTCTGCAAAAACAGAAAAAGGTAGGAAGAAAACACAATGCATTTCGCATAAATTGTTGACACGTTGCACTTCTGTGTAATTGTTTTGAACTAGAATCTCTCTTGTTTGGAATAAAAGAAAGCACCAATGGATAAACAGATAGATTACTTTAAAGAATCTCAAACAAGGCCTTTCAATAACCAGCAATGAACACAACGCGAGCTATTCTTCTTCCCATAAGAGCCATTTTCTTGACTTTCTCTATAAAAAGGAAGGAAGAAAACCAGAAGAAAACAAACAGAACTGGAGCTCCTTTTAAAGCCTCATTTAATGGTGTATACTTTGCCTGAAGACTCTGCATTCTCGTTCTCCACTTCAACATTACGTTTTTCCATAAGAGCACAGCAGTCTGCTGACACACGCTTCTTTGCCTTATGCATGGTTTCTGCATTTAAAGTCCAATTGAAATCAGAAAAGGGCATGCAGACAGATCTTGACACTGAGCACTCTGTGGTAGATGCACAAGTTAAACTCAGCAATTCCCCTCCCCTTCCTGCTTTATTACGCAATGCTCTGTGTTTCATGAACAGATTAATAGAGCTGTGCAGAGATTTGAGCTAGCATCATTGGAGAAGACTAGCTGTAACAGTAAAGAAAGAAAAAAAATCATCAGATACTTGCATAACACTCCTCTCTTCGAGACCTTCAAGAAGAGATTGCCATTTGTCAGAAATGGTGTAGGGTCTCCTGCTTAGGTGGGGGGGGGTTGGACTAGATGGCCTATAAGGTCCCTTCCAACTCTGATTATCTGTTATCTGTTATCTATTTATGAGCCCCGTATTTCCAAATTTCTATGACATCTTTATTTAGAACCTCTCCACTTATGAATAAACAATCCATTCATACATTTTTGAATGTTGTAATTAAATAAAATCCCTATATTCCAAAAAAATCTTGTAAATCATTTCATTTGAACAAAATGAAGCAATGATCTATGCTTGTGTCCAATATATTTCTCTAAAAGGATGAAATTATACTGCTACCGTGTTTCTCCAACAATATGGCCTCCCCCAATAGGAAGACCCAGCATGTTTTCAAGGCATAAGGTGAAATTAAGCCTCTCCCCCCAAATTTAGGCCTAGTTTAAAACATGCAAAATTGGGGGGGTGGGGGGAACTTGCCATTAGGAGCACCCCGCGGGCAGCCACGCCTCGCCACCAGCCTCTCCTAACGGCCAATCATGGCAGAGCGCGGAGAGCTCCCTACCCCCGTCAAGTGGCTTTGCTCAAGACCCGGGTATGGTGCTGGGTGCAGGCTGGGTCAGTGGGTGGGCGTTGGTGATGGGGCACTTTGCATCGCGCCTGCCGCTATTGCTTCCTCCGCCATTGTTGCTTTCCCTTCTTCCTGTGTGCTGAAGGGATTCATCAGAGGATTCACCACAAAGGAGGGGAGTGCATTTAAGGGGGTGAATCCTCCTTTGGGGTGGATCCTTTGGGAGAACCCCAAAGGAGGATTCATCAGAGGATTCCCCCAAAATGAGGATTCATGAGAGGATTCATCCCAAAGGAGGGGAGTGATTTAAGGGGGTGAATCCTTTGGGAGAATCCTCTGGGAAGCTTGGTGCTAAAGGTCTGTAGGATGATTCCCTTTCTCTTCTGTTCATATTGGAAGGTTTGCCTCTGCTCGAAGGGCAACGTGGATAGATGGTTCCCTTTTTAAAACTACCGGGAGGGGTGGGGAGGAAGCTGCCCGGCCAGTGTGTATTCTTAGGGAACTGACGGAGGGAATGAGAATAAAGAAAACTTAAAGAAGGGGGGAAAGGTGCATGGGGGAGGTTTCGGGCAGCTGGAACAAGAGGAGACTGCCTGACTGTACAAGGGACCATGACCCAAAGCTCTGGGGCGGGAAGCAAAGCGAGGTGTGTGTGTGGGAGAAATGATCACATCACCCTCCCTCTGCCACTTCCACCTACCCAACCCCGAAATACTCACCGATTTGCAGGGCCTTGTCGTCGCAGCTGCCGTCAATCAAAACGAAGCCCCTGCGGGAGGGCAGGAGGTTCTTGTCGGCAGCGGGGTCTGTCTCACCGCTGCTCCTGTTGTTGGAGACAGCACTGGTGAGAGAGGTGCCAGCACTGGCGGGAACTGTGGAAATTATGGCTTCCCCACCCGAGAAGCAGCTGAAACGTTGATGGTGGAGGAATGTGCAGCACTCCAAACGCGGCAGCGCATGGGCAGAAGGGAAAGCTACAGTGGCAGAGGAAGCAATAGTGGCAGGTGCAATGCAAAGTGCACCACCACCACCGCCCACCCGCTAACCCGGCCTGCACCCAGCACCATACCCGGGTCTGCAGCAAAGGCGCTTGGTGGGGGTAGGGAGCTCTCATCACTCCACCATGATCGGCCATTAGGAGCGACTGGTGGTAAGGCATGGCTGCCCACGGGGCACTCTAGGCGAGGGTGTGGGGGGAGAAATTAAGTCACCCCCGAAAAGACGGCCTAGCCATTTTTTCGGGGGTCAAAAGAAAATAAGGCCCAGCCTTATTTTCTGAGAAACACGGTAGAGTGTGAGAGAGCAAAAACAACTTTTAAACATTTACATTCCTTTCTGTGCTGAACTGGAAAAAGAACCCAAATTAAAGGGGCTCAAAACAGTTAGGAAAGTTGCAAGCCTTAACTACAGTACAATCTACAAATGAGTTTACATCATGCAGGCTTTTATTTTGTTTCTTAGCTAGACA